ACTGGGGGCATTACCAGATTGGAAAATATGTGGGATTTTTAAAGTTAAAAAATTTTTTTGAACATTAAACCTCAACAGTTTTGTAGGATCCCTGGAGCAGCGTTTTCCTTTGCTGGCTGGCTGTCTCACGCTGTTTTATTTTTGTTTTATTTGTGTATATTTTAGAGGACCGAGTGGTGGTTCCTCTGTGGGCCCCTCAGGCCGACAGGCTGCTCCTTCCCAGCCCAGGTCTCAGCTTTGGTTTGGGTTTCATTTATATGGGGGTCTGAGGAGCCAGGGAAGACTGGGGACCGAGGGCCTGCTTTCCAGGTTCAGGCTTATGCCCCATCTCGCCTTACCCCCACCCTCCCCACCCTCCACCTCACCCCCATCACTGACTCAGGCTACTTTCCTGCCCCAGCACTAACCACTGGCCCAGGCAGAGCCAGCTATGCCACCCGCCCCCAAGCGATCCTTGATGGTTCCCAGCTGGGCGGCCCCCAGCCACGCTTGTGCTCCTGTAGGCTGAGTACCAGGCGGGCCCCTGCTGGTCAGCGGCGTGCAGAGCGTGGGTGAGACTCACTCTGCCAAAAGCTTGGATTGATTGTCATTCAGTTTACCTCAACAAGCATGTTTTGGGCAACCGCTCTGTGCCAGGCAGCAGACAGTCCCTGCCCTGGAGGAATTCCCAGTCCTGTGGGCAAAAGTGTGGGAGGGTGGTGATTGGCATTTAACCCCAGCGTGGTGCCGGGGGGGGGGTCTCCCTCCACTCCTTTCCCAGCATCCCAGAGAGCCTGGAGGCCTGGTCGCTGAACGAGTGCGGAGAAACTCCTCCAGGCACAAAGCATTCAGCAAAGATGTGTGACTCCCTGGTAAAAAAATGAACTGAGGAGTGGTGATTATTTCCCTTGGGGAGGAAAACGGATGAATGTGGCAGGGGAAGAATCACAGAGCCTTGACCCAGTGTTGCCCGGATGGGGGGTGGCAGAAGTGTAGTGTCGATGCGAGTGGGAGAAGGGAGATCTTAGAGGCTCGGGTCTCTGTTCTGCACCTTAAAGTCGAATTCTCCCGGCTGAGGCCCTGGGCAAGGCTGTTAGGGAGCTGGAGGGGCCCCTGTGTACCCAGAGAAGAAGGAACCTCAATCTGGGGAGAGACAAAGAAGGAGCGGCCCAGTGGAGCAAAATTCCAATCTTTAAGGCCCACGCTTCGGAGAAGGGCGGTGAGGAAGGCCTTCCCAAGCCCCCATCAGAACAGGCCCTATACTCGCACTTTCACCCCTCAATCCACCTGCCTCCTTGCCCCATCCCTGATACAGCCCCCCAGGGGCACAGGAGACCGCCGTGAAAGCAAGCTTTATTTAACAGCATCACCTGGCTTTCCAAACCTCATTACCAGCGGGCAGCAGCGCGAGAGAGAGTGTGCACTGCGCTCCCTGCTCTGTTCCTCCCCAAACCGCTGCATTTCTGAAGTCCACTCTTTGAGACCCAAACATTAGAGTCCAGAGAAAGGCACTAGGAAGGCGGGAGGGGTAAAGCAGTCACTGACCTGTAGTATACTAAAAACCGAGCTGGAGGCCGGCTCTCTGGTCAAGTGTCTCTGGATTGTAGGACTATTCACTGCCTGCCCTTCTTTAATCCCTTCGTCCTTCTGTGCTATTCCCTCAAGAAACCGGTTCATGCCTCTGGTGCCGTGCTTACCCCCTACCCCTGTATTTGTCTGTGTCAGTGTTCCCCAGTCACTCTCAGTTTGCCTCCTCTCCTTGAGGCTTCCTATGCTCTGCTTACCCTTTTGTAACCCCACCCCTCCATAAGTAAAGAACTCTGCTAGCTGGTTTCCTAGATGGCCAGATAGAGCTTTTCAGTTGGCCCTCTGGAAATATCTCCATGAACAAGTCTCTCCCAGACCGTACTTATAAATATGTCTATACAGAGATAGACTTGCCTAAGCCCCAACACACACATACCACAAGATAATTACACCCTTATATACATACAGATATCTCTATTTGCAAGTGTCTATAACTCTAGAGAGATAGCTACATGTACATATAGGACTATAATTACTTACGTCTATTTTTATAACGATGTAGTTATAAATAGATATGCCTATATATAGTGATGATAAGATAGAAATATCTCCATAGCTATGTATGGCTCTCAATGTATGCTCTACCTACTCTATATCACAATCAATAAGAGTATGTCTCCTGATACATAATTCTAACGATACACATTTATCTATATAGGTACTCAGAGATATAAATCTGTCAGAGTATCAAATGTCCATAAAGCTGGATGACTATACAAGAGTCATATATTTTCCCATATACAAATCTGTTCCTATAACTATTGTATATGCACAAATACACCAGAAATAATTATATTTTCCTAGAGCATAAATCTGTAAATACAACCACAGCACATTTAGGTATGGTTAGAGATAGAGCAATATTTTCTAGATATCAGTCTGTCAATAGAATCACCAGTGCAGAGTTATAGAGGGAGTTATAAATAAACTCTCCAGATGTAAAGGGATCAGTAGAACTACATGTAAACACGGCTCAACGCTATCCTTTCTTCTTCTTCTCCTTTGTAAAATATTCCTGGAGTGAGGACAGTCACCTCTGACAGGGCGCAGAGATGTTCTGGGACTGGTATTTTCTCTCTAAGGAGGTTTGGAGGAAGCTGGACGTTCCGAGTGGGTGGGGGGCAGTGTCAGCTCCCAACGCAGCCCAGAAGCCCCTTCGGTCAGTCTCCTGGTCAGTTTCCTTGTGGCTGAGAACTTGAGCAAGTGCGAGAGGCCTAGGGGAGAAAAATCAGGCAGAATTTTGCTTGAGTCACTTTGGCCCCTCTCAGGCCCAAAACCCTGGCACAGAGAAGCCCGGAGGGATATCGCAGCCGGGAGGGCTTGAGGGGCGCCGTGGCTGGGGAGAAGAGAATGCAGGCGGAGCTGCAGGGATACCGAGGCGAAGCGCGGTCGAAGGCTGGTTCCCAGCCCACCAAGGCCGCCTGGCGCCCCATCGCCCGGGGCAGCTGCTTCGCTCGCCCGCAGCTTGGAACCCAAAACCAGGGCCCTCTCACCGCGCCCTGCGCTCAGCGCTTCAACCTATCCTATTTTATTTCATTGTTATTGTGTTCGATTGGTTATCGTGGCATAGTCCACTCTATGTTGTGTTCAAATGCCAGGACTTTCTCTGTGTGTTTGTTTTTAAAGTGACTCAGTGGAAAACGCATTTCTCCGTCTCTTTTCAGACCAAATGGGTCACCGGCTGTTGAAAAAGAATCCAAACCTCTGACAAGGTTTGTGACTTAATTTTTTAAAAGTTCTCATACTCATTTGTTATGGTCATTTTTTTCTTTTAAAAAGTCGGCTAATTTCTGTTTTTATACTTTCCTCTTTGATTTTTTCTTACAATTGTTTTTAAAGGAGGGATTTCGTTAGACCCGAAACTGTAAGGCAACTTTCCCTCTGGCTTATTCTGTCGTATCCCTACACCTTCCGCCTCCTCCATCCCCGAAATAAATAAATTAATAAAATTAGCAGAAAATTGTACCTGGAGAGAATAAGGACGCTGCAGGATCCGGGACCGTGGTCTTTCTTCCTTACTGAAATCAGCTCCGTCCCCAGCCCGGAGAGGAAAATTCAAGGCGCCTCATCTCCACCACCACTCCTTCTTTTTTTCTAAAAAGGCCCTAGGAAGAGAACTTTCCCAGGCCTACCAGAGCCTGGGGGCTCGTCCTCCCTAATCCTGGGCGGCCATAAATGCTTTTTTGCTTCCGCCCCGGGCTCCGCGGCTCGTCATCCCCGGCACCTCTACGCCACCGGCAGGATCGAGGCTGCGGCCATCGCCTCACCCATCTCCAATCGGCCTGACCCTGCACTCTTGGCCTCCTCTTTAAAACGGGGATTCTCAGAGAGTCCCCAAAGTCACTAACCAACCCCATATGTGGAGACCCCTCCCTTGATCGCACAAAGCAAGAAACCAGAGGGGGAAAAAAAAAGCAAGAAAGAGCCAGCTCCTGGCTCAGCTTCCCCTCCTCTAGCCAGGGACCTTGTCTGGGGAGGGGGCTTCCAACCCCAGCCCTCCAAGGGCATATAAAGAAGCTAACTTTCTTTCTTCCTTTTTTGCGTTCCCCTCAGATGCTGGATTGTGTCTCACTCTCCTCCTCAAAATATCTCCTCTTGCATTTTATTATTATCCTGCTAGGAAGGGTCTGTTAACTACTGCTTTTATTATTATTTATTGTTATTATCATTGCTGTTAGAGATTTGTTCACAGGGTTTAGGGGACAGCGGCCTGGCCTAGAGGGGGGCCTGGCTTGCACACGTTCACACAGATACACATACACATCTTGCACAGTGCACACACACGTCTATACCCACAAATGCCTGCCATGTTCAGGCCCCTCCACAACAACTCACAGGAGGTGGGCGTCCTCCCTCCCCAGCACACAAGCAACAAGCTCCCCACTCACGGCAGCATTCAGGTGCAAACACCCGCCCCCAGACCGATGCCAAAACCCACACGCACCGAGCTTGCAAGGAAAGGAAAATATGTAAGAACCCACTTGCAGAGATCCCTTCTCTCCCACAACCTGGAGGGACGAGCCAGGCCTCTGTCTCTCTCCCCCAGTCTCTCCCGCTTTCTCTCTCTCTCTTTTTTTTCTCCTTGTTTACAGCTTCAGAGAGCTCCAGGCCCATAAATCTTGAGGGGCCTACAGAGCGCAGAACACATTTGTATGCATCGTTAGGACTCGCTAATACCTAAGCCCATTAACGAGCGTGTATGCGCGTGGTTTCCGGTGTGTATTAACTTATAGTTAAATTCTGTAGGAAAGGGCATTGTGAATTAGCATATACCAAATCCATCACGGGCTTTTGTCATATCAGATGAGTCAGCCATGAGTTTGGGGGAGCGGGGTGCCTGGGTTGAGGTGAACCCTTCAAACTTTCTTGAGCAAGCCGAGGGGTCTGAGGGAAGAAGAGGACACTGCTACCCCAGCCCCGGTTATTCGGATCCTCTAGGCCAAGACGGCCGCACACCTGCGGAATGGCGGAGGGGCCGGGGGTTCGGGCTGGGAGGCCATGCAGTCTCCGGCGGAGGGAGGCGAGCGAGGGGAGGCCCCGCGGACCGCAAGCCGGGGTTGTGATGGAGCCTCTCGGCCCGAGGCCGCTTGGCTGTCTGGTTTCTGCTTTCCGAGAGATCGGAGAGGGGAGGCAAGTTGAGTCGCTGAACTTTAATTAAACCGAAGAGAAAACAGTGGGGGAGGAAAAAAAGATCCGAGGAGGAGGAGGCCGAGAGGCCGAGGAAAGAAGGCGAGTCCCGGCTCTGACGCCAAGAGCCTGGAGATCTCTCTGAGGAGCTGAAAACTGGGTCATTGGAGGAAGGTTTTCCTGTCCCCCCACCCCACACCAGCTACTCCGCTCCAGTTGGGGCGCCTAATTCCCTCCCTCTTTAGAAAGAAAAACGAGAGAAGAAGAAAATTATTTTAATTATCTGGCGTGTTTCAACCAGGTGTACTGGTTCCAGTGACTCGGACCCTGTTGGAGGCCCAAGAATGTAGATAATTGGACCTGTATAGACAGACAGACAGACAGACAGATGGTTGCCGGTTCTAGAGGGAGGAAAGGGAGAGGAAAGCCCACCTCTTGGGGTCCTGTAGAAAATGCCAAAGACAAAACGGGCTAAATTATTGTGTCCGTGTAGATCTATTTGCCCATCTAAATTCAGCAAACCTGGGGAGGGAAGAGCAAGGAATAAACTGCCAGGACAGAGAGGGTTGGCAGGAAAGAAATGCCGCGCCCCCCACCCTTTGGAACAGCTCGGGGGCGGGTGGGGCCTCGGCTTGGCTCGGGCGGCAGGGCCCGCGGGCGGGTCTGGGCCGGGGCCGGGGCCGGCCTGGGGGAGGGGAGGCGGGGGCGGGTCCTCCCCGGGCGCTGTGAACTTTAGCTGGGCCGCCGCCTGTCAGCCCCAGAAAGCGTTAAAGGTGCAGCAGCCCGCGCCAGCCTCCGCAGCCGCCTTTGTACGCGTGATTTATGACTTCAATCTTGGTTCACCGAGAGTTCACACGGCTTTCGCTGCTGTTGAAGGTTAAAAGATGGTCTTCGCTTGACAAGTGGGACTATTGAAAATTCCTTCTTCTTCTTCTTCCTTTTTTTTTTTCAAGAAGCGAAGAGCGAAGGCTCAGGAGAGAGAAATTTGGGGGGGGGGGTGCAAGGGTTGCAGGTGGGGAAAAATGGCAGGGCAGAATGGTTTACCTCCCTACATTTGGGCTTTTTTTTTGTAGCTAGGATTTGGGAGTGTATATTGGGGAGGTGGGTAGAGAATAGGAGGAAGCGAGGAAAGCGATTTAAATCTCTCAATCTCTCGTATTTGAAGGCCATAGGAGTGGCATTGTTTTAAAAAAAATCTGTGCTTTCACAGTTAATTATCTGGATAACTTGTGTCATGCCCCCAACTGATCCTCCTCTTGAAACCAAAAGTGAGTCCTGGGGAAGGAGAGAGTTTGGGGTGAGGGATAGAATGTGTGCTGTTTTCATGGCAGTGCGTGTCTACGGGTGTGCTTGGCTGTCTATCCTTGCCCTGTAGCCACTTTTCAGGTACACTCTTAGACCCACAGATTTGAGCAAGGGTATTTTTAGTTCCAGTGTTCTAGTTCTCTTCATCTTGCAGACCTAGGCTGACATGCAAATTTGATGCAAATTAAAAGGCTGCTGAGATGGTTGTAGAGTTGGGATTGGAAATCAGTCCTTTCTAATCCCAGATCCCCTTGGCCCATGAGCAGTCCCTCTTCCTCCTAGCATTTTGGAGAAGGTGGTGCTACAGCAGAGATGGTGGTCAGGGATCTCCTAATGGCCAGATGATAAGGCTCCTTTGTAGTTTGAGACCTTGAATACTTGGAAAACAAGAATTTACCCCTTTTTTTTCAGATTCCCAATGGATGAGAGGTGTTGGGTAGGCATCATAATTTTTTGGACTCTCTGGGATGTCCTGCCTTTGAGTCAAAGAAGGGAGAGAAACCTCAGTAACCAGAGGGTGAGAAGAAGAGAAGAAGAAACAGGGTGACAGAAATGAGCATGGGAGATAGAAGGAGATCCTCTGGAGTTGTGAGGATCTGAGTGACTCTTTGAGACATTTTAAAACATTTTCAAATTCCCTGGAGTGAGAATTTGGGATTACGGGTGCATGGGAGGGGAGCAGCAGAGAACTGGGTCTGGTGTTGAGCATGCCTCACTGACCTCAACTATTGGGCCCTCCCATCTCCATTATTGATGCCAGTACTCTTCTTCTTAGGGGGTCAGAGCCAGACCCTCAAGCCCAGACCCCTAGAAGGGGCACTCCGTATTTCTTTTGCAGTGTAGAGTTGGAGAGGTCTTCTAAGGCAATATCATGGCTCCTAGGCAATGCCCATAAGAAGGGAGGAGGGAGAGGGAAAAGATCCAGGAAGATGGCTGAACCCACCCATGCACGTACACCCAGCGCCAGCCCCTCCTGTGGGGCACTCTACGCATACACAGCAGAATGAGGAACAGGCAACAGAGAGAAAGCCATAGTCTGGGTTCTGAGGTCATTTTGGCAGGGAGAAGGATAGCCCTCTGGCCTCAGAAACAACAGAGAGGCAGTATGGCACTGTGTTTAAAAGCTTAGGGGGTGGGGTGGGATGGGTAGCTGTTAGGAAGAGTGGGCCAAGGAAGCTAATGAATCTCTTCCAGGTTCTGGTTGGGAAGCAGAGGAATGAATTTAACAGCCTCTAGAAGTAATGACTGCACTCAAATCCCCTTCCCTCACCTTCTGACTGTGCTCCTCCTTGGGAAATAATTTCAGTGGCTTGTGCTTATCTGCAAGTCTGGAATAATTATGAATTAAAAATTCATAATTAAAACTGTTGATTGTGACCATTGCTCTCTAGTGGGACCATTTATTTCCTTCTCCTCCTTGAGGCAGAGGACAGCCTCTGTTAGCCCCTGCCCTCTGTCACAAGCAAACTGAGGCCTTGTCCCTGTGTGGGATGGTTGTCTCATTACTAGTCAAGTATCTGTGCTCAATACAACCACCTCCCATTAACTTCAGATTTCAAAGTGCTTTGTAGACTTGTCTTCTAGAGAGAGAGAGTGGGGACTGGGAGTGAGACTCCAACAGATGAAGCAGCTTGGCCAAGCTCTGTGTAAAAATAGGAATTAAGCAGAGATAACAAGCTCAATACCCAAGCAATCTGGGGTCAAGAATGGGCATTCTGCCTCCTCTACCCTAAGGAGCTGCTAGTCTCCCTCAGCCACCCTGGGGGCCCCTGAATTCACACCTGGCTCCTTCTCCTGATCTCCCTTTTCCCTCATCCCGCCCCCTTGTGGAAGGCACAGGCTTCAGGACACACCATATCCTTGGCTGGTTGGGGGTTGGGAAGTAGGATCTGCCAGGTGTTTCACATCTGTAAAGGCCTAGAGAGAGAGAAAATTGCTCCTATCCCATGAGATAATTTCCATCTAAATCCCTACCAGCAGCTTGCTTCCCCCAGCACTGAAACAATTCTTTTCATCCTCCTTGTCCCCCTCTCTTGTCCTCTGGAAATACAGGTGGGGAGGGCAAGGGGGAGAAAGACAGCTCCAGACAGCTGCAACTAGAGAAAGAGATAGAAGTAGAAGTGAGAGAGGGAATCAAACCAGGGCTCTCTGCTACATCCCACAGGTTTCACCTCCATTCTTCAAACCCAGCTCAACACCCTGAAACCAGGACCACTGGAAACCTTCCCTGCTCATTCCCCCAACTCTCTCTCTCTTACTCAAAAGGAGTCCTTTTCCTCTTCCTGAGGCAGGGGCTGCTCTAAGAACTTAGCTCTAAAAATGCCACAACCTTCCAGAGACATTCAGGGACCCAAAACCAATGCATCTTTCATTGCCTGTCTGGTCCAAAGCAAAGCCAGTAGCCCAGCCATCCTATCACCAGCTCCCTCCCTGCCAATGGGGTGGTCCATGGAATTACCTCAACTTCCATCCCAAACCTCTCTGCATCCCTTGGTTTCCCCCCCTCCCCAAGCCAGGGGGTAGGTAGAAAGCCAGTCCAGAAAGTCCCCTGGAGCTGGCGAGTATATTTTAATTTACTGTTTGATGGTAAATAAAGAGATCTTGGGAAAAAAAAGGAAGAAGCAACTTCAACAGGCATCCTCCCCACCCGCCCCTCCTCTGGACATTGGCTTTCTTGATGAAACAGTGCACTGTTGTTCTTGGACAACCATTCCCCACCATCTCCATTCGAAGGATTTGAGTTTCACCCTCAGTTCACCCCCATTAATCACCCCAGCAGCTAAACATCACCCAGCCCCCTCTGGCCCTTTCTCTTCTTCTTGCCCTTAGTATTCATGGCTGGGCATTCCTCACTGCTGCTTGCCTCACAAAGACCACTCCACTGACACAAGGCCCCTCCCCTTCCCCAGCTACCCAACCCATGGTGGGCACTACTCGCTGTTCCTGACATTCTGGCCACGAGATCCCATTCTTGAACCCTATTCCCCAGCTTTCTCCACAGGCACTACACCACTCCCACACAGATCCCTACTGGACATACCCTCCTTTGTGTACCACATTTCATCCTGACACACCCTCTTCAGTCTCTGCCACTCACCACCGTTCCTTCCTCCATGCCTGTCTTCTACTTGTAGCCCTTATCTGCCTTTCTACACTGCTCCTTGCTTCATTTCTCCTTTCCCTCCTCCCAAGATGTTTCCTACATCCTTCGGATAATGGCTTTGAAATATTTCCCTTCCAGTCTTGAGAAACTGAGAGACCATATGGTTAAAAGTACAGGTTTTGGATTCAAATCTCAGATTTGTCATTTGTTAATTGTGCAGCCTTAGGTAAGTTACTTAACCTTTCTGAGCCATCCATAAAATGGACACAAACCACTGATCTTCTAGAGTTGTTGTGTAGATCAAATTATATTTACATAGATCCAAGCATTCAACAGGGGCTTGATTAATGGTAATTATTAATACTAGACGCTTCTTGTGAGGAGAGAAAGGGATGCTCTTTGGATTCCAAAAAAAGTGAAGGAATTGCCTTCTCTAGCACCTGAAAGGGAACAATAAAAATTACATATCTTGCCAATAAGCAGGGCCCATTTACCAGGCAGCTATATTCTTCTGTTAATTCTAGAACTAAGGTTCTCAACTTGGGCTGCACATTGGAACACCCTGGGGGGCTTTAAAAATGCTGATGCCTGGGTCCCACCCCCAGAGGTTCTAATTGCGTTAGTCTAGGGTAGGGCCTAGGCATTCTGGATTTTTTTTCAACTCCCCAGGTGATGCTAATGTACAGCCAGGGAATAAGAATCTGTGCCCGAGAAGGTATCACCTCTGCTCCTCACCTGTGTATGACTGAAGAGCAGGAACAGGAAGGAGACTTAGAGCTGAGACCTTCTTCTCAACATGGGGCACCCCTTCACCAGCCACATTGCTTCAGTAGGGTGTTATAGAGGAGTCTTTTTTTTTTTTTTTGAGATCTTAGAATTTCAGAGCCTCTCACTCTTTTTATTTTCTATAGCTATAAGGAACCCTGGTGGCATAGTGGTTAAGAGCTTGGCTGCTATCAAGTCCAATTTTCCTTGGAAATTCTATGGGACAGTTCTACTCTGTTCTTTAGGGTCACTGTGAGTCATTTATGAATCAGAACCGACTCAAAGGCATCTAACAACAACAATTAGGATTTACAAAGGGGCCACTCCGAGAATAGACAGGGGAATGAAAAAATTGACCACTCAGAGGCCTCTAGCTCTTCAGACAAGCATATGGTCCCTAGACCACCAGCTGCCCCCAGTATTGGGAAAATTTGTAGTCACATAGTAAATAGAGTTTCTACCTAGTTGATACAATAACGGGCCAAGCAATTAGGATACAAGTCTCCAGGATCTTTTCCTATATTTCCAAAAAGATAAATCACCCCCTAGAACAGAATCTGCATATTGTAATTAACTGATAAATATTTCATGCCTGGTTCAAACTTTCTTCTCTTCTATTTAATGGCCACAAACTTGAGCAAAGAGGAAACAGGGGAGTGAGGAGGGGGAAGGAGGGTGGGTGAGGGGGGAGGGAGGGCTCTGCATTGGCTTTGGAGGAAGGAGAAACTTAGTTGCTTCTTTATTTGCTTTCCTCCTGTTCCTTTAAGAAAACATTGCTCACCTGGAGAAAACCAAGTCACAGGTGGGAGAGGGTGTTACTTGGCCTCAGCCCTGATCTCCCTCAGGAGAGGTCAGTCTCTGGTGACCCTGGGGGAGCTGGGAGCAGCAAGTTATGGAGTCCAAGGGCTCAGTGTTTGAATAAAGCTCTGTTCTCCACTTACCAACTGTGTGCTTTAGTCAATTTCCTTAATTTCTCTGAAACTCAGTTTCTTCATCTGTAAAACAGGCATAGCAATAGTTACTTTGTAGAATTGCTTATGCCTAGTAGGCTCTCCATACATGATAACTATTGTTATCAGCAGTGACAATTCATAATTAATACCCATTGCATTGCATTGCATTGCATACCTTCTCTTGCCCAACCCTACCCCAATGTTTAGGGCACCTATTTGGATGATGATAAACCAGCAACCAAAAACTGAAAGCTTACTGGGAATACTGTGAATGTCTTATCTCACTGAATCAGCACAACCGCCATATGAAGCGGGTATATAACTATCTCCATTTGTACCTGTCTTTTGTAAATGAGGGAACAAGGTACATAGTAGTATCTGTAGTAGAATCTTGTCCAGGCTCATACAGCCAATAAGTGGTTAAGAGCACGGTCTCTGTAGTCTATGTAGGTTCAGTTTTGGGCTCTGCCATTTAATTAATAGCTGTAGGATTTGGCAAAAGGTACTTAACCTCTCTAAGCCTCAGTTTCTTTGTCTGTAAATTGGAAATATTAACAGTACCTACCTGGAAGATAGTTGTGAAATTAAGTAAGAAATACCGTAAGTAAGTACAGTGCCTAGCTTAGTCCTGGCACATAGTAAGCACCCAGTAAATGTTAGCTGTGATCTTCATTATCACCATCACCGTCATGCCACTAGCGGCACTCAGTGACTCAGAGTCATGGTGTCTCCTTCTCTGTAGTGTTGTTGTGGGGTGACAGTGCATGAGGATTCTCCAGAGGCCACAGTGCTGCTCTCTCATTAAGTCCTCCCCTGCTTCACACACACTTCAGTACCCAGGACTTGGGAAAAAGGACACTAAGCAGATTATGACTCCATTTCGGGAATTAAATCAAAACTCAAGGCTAACTCAATTTGGCTTCTGACGAGAGGGAAAGGTTAAAAGGGAATGAGGAGGCGTCTGGGTGTGCTCTTAGAATTGTAATTGGTCCTGGATCCTTGCCCCTAGCCCTTCCATAGGGCCCATGCCCAAGGGGAATCCTGGGCATGGCGGGGGGGGGGGGCAGTGTGGAGGAAGGGGGAGCCCTAGAACTCAGTCATCTGGAAGTGGGTGAGGGGTTGGGAAATCGTCCAGGAACACTTCTCCAAGAAGGAACTTTCTTCAGACCAGACTCCTTAGTCAGCCTATCCCTGGATTGAAGGGGACCACTGGATGGGGATGAGGCTTTAGACTGGCGGTGTGCTTTAGTAGACTAGAGAAAGTCCTGCTTGAGGCAGCCACCTCCCTGGAGATATATCTGCACTGATGTTCTTCTTTTTAAGGGCAGTCTGAGCAGTACTGATATTGCATCCCTTATGTTCAGATGTATTTATTAGACAACCTACAAACACTATGATATGTGTATAAGTGTATATTTTGTGTGCATATATCCACTCAGCTCTTATTCAGCCTTATATATTTAGCCCTGATTATTCTGAGCACTATAACCTAAAAGTAAAGATTTTTACTTAAGGGAGAGTGGTAACTTTCTTCAGTATTTTCTCCTTGGCTCCCAACACTCTCCTTCCAGGCTTAGAAAGACCATTTCCCATTTTACAGAACGGTAAACTAGGCTCAAAAAGATACGTAACTGGTTCAGAATCACAGACAGAGCGTGGGAACCTAGGAGGAGGGTCCAAAACAGAAACCAGTGCCATAAGGGAGACAGCAGAGAAAGCTCCCACACAGGCCCTTACCCTAGGTCTCAAGCCTCCCCAAAGTTGAACGGGATGGGAGAGTGCCCAGGAGGCAAGCGCTGCGAAAGGAGGGACTCTGGGGCTCGCCAAGCAGCCGCGGAGCCTCGGGTGAAAGCGTCGTCAGCGCGTCCTCATTCTGTGATTACTGTCAGGGGACCATCCATCAGCGCTGCCGGGGACGCTAGGCCCAGACTGCCCGCCGCCCGCCGGGGTCTCTCCAGATCGCATTAGCGTGGGGCGAGGGCGCAGTGAGGCTCCCGCTGCTGCCAGAGGGGCGGGCTGGCCACGCTGCTCGGGGGGGCCCTCCGTCCGTCCGTCTGTCCCGTCCCGTCCCGCCCCGCGCGGGGCGTGGGGCGGGCGGGGGGGGGGGGACGGGTAGCAGACGTTAGGGCGTTGCGCGGGTAGGGGGAGAGGGTGCTTCGAGACCCCTCCTCTTCCCTCAATCTCCCCCTTCTGGCGTCCAAGGTCGATGCGGGGCGCACTAGAACTGGAGGGAAGCGGGCAACGAGGAGGAGGACACCCAGAACACGGAAGGCAACAGAGAGGGACCCCGGGAGAAAGAGAAACACCTGTAAAGAGGAAAACAAGAGAAAGTGGGCTGGGAGGGAAGAGACTGAGAAGGAGAGTGACGAAAATATAGGTTAAGTAGGAGAGAAGGATTTAAAGGAGTAAAAAAAGAGAGAATGTAGAGGGAGAGAGAATTGGAAAGGAAAAGACGAGAGAACAGGGAAATAGAAAGTCATAGATTATCAGGGATGGAAAAACCTTAGAGATAATCTAGTGCAACTCCTTCATTTTACAGATGAAGAAACTGAAGTCCAGAAAGGGGAATCCCTGCTCCAAAGACCCACTCCAGCTACTAGCTGAGTCAGCTCTTGGCCCCCAGGCTTCTGGATTCTTTCAGCCCACCTTTGCTGAGCATCTGCTCTGTGCTGGGCGCTGGGGCTGCTGAGATGGCTCAGGATCAGTTCCTGCCCTCCAGAAGCTGCAGTCTTTCTTGGGGGTTGGCGATGGGGTGGGGTAGGGTAGAGGTTCCTAACATCTAGAGGCACTTCCTTACCCTCAGCCAGGATTGGTTCCCTGACCTTACCTCTCCTAGCCATGAACACACCCCTTGCACTCTGCTGTTCTACTTAATATCCTCAGGGAGTGTGTGGAAAAGCCCCCTCTCCCTGGCCTCCGTGGGACTACCTTGGAGCTGAACCAGGTATTTGACAGTTTGGCCAAATTGTTCTACCTCCCATGGCCACCACTTTAGGCTGAAAGCAAGGCCCTTATTTGCTTGATTTGTTCTCTGGGGATGAGCAAATCCCACAGGTTGGAGTGAGATCACATGGAGCCATAGTGAGCAGAGTTGAGGTTGGATATGAAGAAATAATTTTAGGGCCTATAGTCTGGAACCAGTTTTGCTGTACTAAAGCAGCTGTGCTTTCCCAAGTGTGGAGATGGTACCATCTTCCAGGGAAAGACAAGTCCTCTCCAGTCAGATTCTCCTATCTGGCCTGTGTGCTGTGCATACTGGGGGCTCAAGATAACCTGGGCCCTGCCCATAGGGTTTGTGCTCTAGACATAGATGAACTGACATCTCTCTGGCTTCCTCCCTAGTCAGTGCCCGCCTGTAACATCATGGAATCCCTGAATCCCTTGCAGCTCCCAAATCATCTCACCCATTCTCCTGCCTCCGGGAGGACTGTGTCTGAGAGGTTCCATCTAACCCTCCATGACCTCTTTCCTTAAACACATTCCCTGACAATCAGAAAGTGCCTCCCTATGTCTAAAATTGATTCTTCCTCACTGCACGTGGCCTATCATCATCACCTTGACTCAGGATTTTGTCATAGCAAGGGCTGAAACAGCACATTTTTCTACAAATACCCCTCCTCAGTGGCCAGGCAGGGAGTGGAAACATCCTCCAAGAGCTCTGGAAATTTCTCTTTCCTCTATCTTAAACAAGCTCCTATATACTCTGAGGTGGTTGTTGTTGTTTTAAAGAAACGACTGTTTTTCCTCTACAACCCAAGTTACATTTGGAGGAAGGCAAATGTGAGAGTTTTAAGTCCCAGAATCTTAGCCTCTGTGCCAGTCCCCAAAGAGGTATAACTGAAATCAAACCAACAGCCATTGAGTCGATTCTTTATGGGACAGAGTAGAACTGCCCCATAGGGTTTCTAAGGCTGTAAATCTTTACGGAAGCAGACTGCCATATCTTTCTTCTGAGGAGCGGCTGGTGAGTTCGAACCACTGACCTTTTGATTAGCAGCTGAGAGTTTAACAACTGTACCACCAGGCCTCCCCAAGGAGACATGGGCATCAGGAAAGGAGAGCGCAGAGGCCTGAACAGAGCTAGGACATGAACGGGTTCCATTCCCTCTTCCAGTCCCAACCACCAGGGATGGGGCTTCCACGGAGCAAGAGAGGTAGACACTCCTGAAGTCCTAGACTAAATACCACAGACAAATGTCAGCATTATTCCTTCTTGCAGGCAAAGTGATGCCCTTGGGATCTAACCAGTGAAAAGGTCTGGGAAAAAGGCTGTTTCTGCAGCTCCTGACACTTTGTCCTGAGCAGGATGTCAGCCTCACCCCAAGAGCAGTGCTAGAAGTTGAGAGGCTGGTAGTAGACTATGAAATAGTTCCTCCAGGGGCATGCCAGATGAGGGGGCTGGAGTACCCAGCCCAGAAAGCATCCAAGGAGGGAGGCCTTGGCAATAATTCTCTGTATTTCTCTACTAACTTCACATACATTATCTCATGTGATCCTCAGTGCTGGGTTCAGCACCTGGTACAGAATACATGCTTGTTGTACAAATAGATGAATGAAGAGCCATGGGAGGAAGGTCATGATCCTCAATTATAGATGCAGAAATAGAGTCATAGAAAGGTTAAATGACTGGCTCAAAGTCACATGTCTCATCAGGGACAGGGTCAAGTTTTAGTGGAGAGCCACACTGTGTTGGAGGGTGGTGGAGAGGAGGGAGGCAGGGTAGGAGAGGATGAACTACCAGACACCACATCAGGGGACAGGAGAGCTCTGTAAAGAGAGGACTTCCTGGGAAAGATGGCATTTGAGACCATGCAGCTTTTAAATTTTCTCATTAAAGGCTGGTTTATAGCATATACAGTCCTACAAATAACTTAAGAGGTCAAGGGGGAGACTGGGCCACTGAAGAACAGAAGAGAAAGCTGACACCAAGGGACTAGATACTTGACTGCCAGACTTTTGCTAACCCTTGCATCATCAGACCAGCCACGCCCCCCTTCTGAACCTGTACTGAATGAAGATGCCAGATGAGGAGGAAAATGCTTGTGAGCAAGAAGGCTGAGGCCAGTGTCCTCAGGATAACAATTGTAGGCATCAAGTTCCCATTTCCCTGGATCTAGTCTTTGTTGTTATTGCTGTTGTCTGATTTTAATTTTTTTTTTTTTCAAATAGGAAATACACGTACATGGTTCAAAACTCAAAAGGCACCAAAAGTTACACATGACAAGTAAGTCTCCCTCCCATCCTCAGGACCCCCAGACCATCTGAGTCCTCTGTCCAGAGTAACCACAGTAACGAGCATCTTGTATAACCCTCCAAAGGTAATTTATACTTACCCTAGCTCATGCCCTGAAGGCATCACAAGCTTAGTTGAGCACTGATGTTTTGAGGAAAGGTGGTAAAGGAACATACCTAGACTGGTGGGTGGGACCTTGGAGTACCAAATAGTCTCCGTTTCCTCTTCCTACTCTAAAAAGATGCAGAAATACTCGGGCAGGAGAGAGGGCAAATGGCTGCACACTTTGGGAGCTCAGAAACCTCGCAGGTAAGAGGATAGGATTGGGGGCCAGGCTGAGGCAGGAACCCTCTCCAGGGCTCTACTCCCCCACACTTCCATCCTAGGGCCTAGAAGACCCCTAGGGCCCTCAGCATTAGCCTGGCTGAGGCATGCAACCAATTGGGTCCTGCTCAAATTCTCCAGAGAACAAGGCTCCACGCCTTCCCTGTACCACCTGTTGCACTGTTGAGAAGTCTTTCATGATGCCTAAAACTCCAATTCCTTCTACTTTAGGTGCAGCCTGTGGCTTGGATTCTGCCCTGGGTGGAGATGGAGCATCGTCTTTGAGATGAGAACCTCTGATGACTCTTTTCCCCTCCCCTGACTTACATACGTAGTCTTTTTCCAGGCCCTATAATTCCACCTCGCTCTTTTTTTCCCAGACTTAGAAGACCCGTGACCACTTTGCTGTCTCAGCTACCTTCCCTCTACCTTAAAGGCCTCTGAATTCCTTGTCCACTACCTCATTTCCAACCCTCATTCTTACCTGTCATATCCCTTTGTATTGTTACCCAACAGCACACTTCGGTCATGGAGTATGACAGCTTCACGGAAGAGCCCTTCCGCCATCTTCCACAAGACTTCAGGGAATGGTGGACATGGTGAGAAGGCTCTGGATTCTGGTTGTATTTTGAAAGAAAAGCCAACGGGAGTTTGTAACGTTTTTCTCTTCCTTGGCTTCCATCCCTTAGCTCTCTTCACTTTCTCTCATTTTCCCTAGGTTGTGTGTTTTTTCTTTTCTTGAAATCCCAACTGAAAACCTAGTCTACCACCAAATCAGGGGGTAAATCTAGGCTGACCCCTTTGCTGATTGAATCTCCCCAGTTTTGGTGATGCCCTAGCCCAATGCCTGCGCTTGTGCTCATCTCCCCAGCCCCCAGATCCTCACACATGGCTTGCTGTGAGATAAGGCACAAGTTAACCCCAAGCCTGGGATGACCTTCCCTTGCACTCGCCTCCAAACCCTGCCCTCATTAACCTCATCCTTTATATTTACTCATTGAGCAATTATTGTTGAACTCTATTCCCAGTTCTTAGGATATATTGGTGAACAAAACAGACAAAGACCCCTGCCCTTGTGAAGTTTATGTTCTAGCAGGGACAGACAGATAATAATTTACTTACTAAATCAGTAAATTACTTAGTGCATTAGAAGGTGATGCTGTTGTTAGTTGCTGCTGAGTCAGTTCTGACTCATGGTGAGCTCGTATGTGCAGAGCAGAATTGCTCCATAGGGTTTTCAAGGCTGTGACCTTTTGAAAGACGATTGCCAGGTCTATCTTCTGAGGCGGCTCTGGGTAGGTTTGAACCACCAACATTTTGGCTAGTAGTCAAGCACTTAAACATTTGCGCTACACAGAAAAAATCAGGGAAAGGGGGATCAGGATGGAAGAGAAGTCTGTAATTTAAATATGGTAGTCAGGGGGTCTCTTGAGAAGATGGTATTTAAGCAAAGACTTAGAGGTGAGAGAGTAAGTAAGCCTCACAGATATCTTGGAGAAGACTATTCCAAGCAGCGGGAATAGCTGGTGCAATGGCCCTGAGGCAGGAGCAGGCCTAGAGAGTTTGTGGAACCGGAGGCCAGTATGGCTGCAGTGGAATGAACGAGGTGGAGAACAGTAGGGAATGACATCAGAGAGGTAAGGAGTTACCAGATTGTGTAGGGCCTCGTAGGCTATCTTAAGGACTTTGATTTTTATTCTGAATGAAACAGGGAGGAAAGACATGATTGGAATTAAGTTTTTAAATGGTCATTCTATCTTATTTGTTGAGAATAGGTTTCAGGGACCAAGGGAAGATGCAGGGAGACTTTTCAGAGGTTATTGCATTAATCCAAGTAAGAGATGAGTGGACCAGGATGGCAACAGTGGACGTGGTGAGAAGGGCTTAGATTCTGGATGTATTTTGAAAGTAGAACCAACAAAATTTAGTGATAGTTTTCCTTTCATTGGCTTCCATCCCTTTGCTCTCTTCACTTTCTCTCTTCTTTTCTAGTTGTGTGTTTTCTCTTTCCTTGAAGACTGAGAGCTCTGTGAGGTGGAGGATAATTTCCTGTCCCTAGGACCTGCTCTAGCACCCAGGGTAGGACCAATGTAGGGCAGACAGGCCCTAGTGCTACCTGGGAGCAGGCTGACAAACAGAGCAGCAATCACAGTCTCCCTGAGCCAAGGGGAGAAGTCTGCTGTGTCTAAAGAGGATGTGATGGACAGTTATTGAAGGCTCTCAGCTGGGGGCTCCACTCTAGTCTTAATCTGAGCCACCCTCAAGGAAATCATAACCAGCTCTTAAAAACATGTTAAGACCAGAGCTAGTATGTGTGTTTGAGCAGAGCTTCAGAGAGCTACTTAACACTGGACTGGGGGCCTCCGGGCCTTTGATTCCTCTACTCCTCGCCTTGCTCTCTCCCCTGATCAGGCCGGTGTTTATCGGCCAAGACGTTGTTTAAATCACACTCGTTTCCTATAAACAGTTCACTTGAAATGTCATCCATTGCTCCAGAAAAATTCATCTATCACCAGCTCAGGGGAATACTTAAGAAGCCTTGGGGGGATGGCTCCCCATCTCTCTCCCCGGTCTCCCATCCCCCCTCCTCCCCGACCCATATTCTCAGGTTTCACACTATAAGAGCTACTTCCCCTCAGTGTAACAGGGCACTTAGTGCCAGGGTTACTTATAACAGTTGTGATGGGAACAGACTATGGGGAACAGCCAAACCCATGGACACTTTCTCTTTCAAAGTTCAATAAATGGATCTGGATCACCGTTTACCACCTGGTGTCTTGGCCTCCTCTGTGTTTCCTGCTGGATTCAGGGGGACTTGGGAAGATGAGGGGACAGGGGTCTGGACCAGGTCAAGGTGTCCTCAGAGTTTAAGGGGCTTATAAGCCAGCGCTCAAATAAATTTACCCCCTCACTCTACCTCTATTCCCTCTCTCTCATTTCTGGCTAAGTACATCCCTGCCTCAGGTGAGCTCCCTTCTGTAAATGTGAGCAGCTCTTGGGGCTTGCTGTCCAGAGCAGGGAGCCATCTTCCTTCCCCAGGAAAGCCAGATCATGCTGCTACCACAAGGGCAGAGCTAGAAGTCAAGGAAGTCAATTTGATCCAGACTGGAATGGGTATGTGGGAGGTTCTGGGAGGTTCTTCTGAGGAAAGGTTTGAATTGGCTCAATTCAAGCTAGAGCAGAGGCAGGCAGATGGATGAATTTTTTTCCTGAGGACTGCAAACTTTATCATCATCCTCCTCCCCAGCTATAGCCATTTACCAGTTGTCCTACTTTGGAAACTCTGTTGGTGTTTGGGACGAGAGGATCTTAACCCATTTAATGACTCCTCCCCCAATCTCATTCCTTTCACCAGTTCCACATGAGAAAAGGAATCATCAGCCCTCTTAGTCCTTCTCAAAGGCCAGATCCCATCCCTCTCAGACACAGGGGAATCTGTACCTCCTTTCCTCCACACCTGTGCCCACTCATTGCACTGGGGAGGCTGCCAGATGAGTTCCAAGGAGAGCGCAGGTGAGACTACAAGAAGGTAGGGAAGGATCAGGATTGAACTCAAAGTGGGGTGGGCGGAGGAGGCAGCCCTGGTCTTTGGGGATCAAGCAATGCCCCCTTTATAGGCCAAATGAAGAAAAAAGTTCTAAGGGGAGCATGTGACTCCATAAAATAAAGGGACATAATTGGGAGTGATATCTAATTTATCTATTGAATGCCTCCTACGTACTCTTTTATCACTCAGATGGACAGAATATAATTGGTGTGCTGAACGCCATCAATCTCAGGGCCTGGGCTTCCTGTGCTGGCTACACCTATTACTGTCAGATTATGACACTGTAATACCAAGATCAATGACATTTTAAATGTGCTCCAGTTATGGGCAATTGCTGACAATAAAAACAGTGACAAATTGATGAAACTTGGTCAGCGATGATTTGGTGTCAAAAATAAACCATAAATAATCTGCTTTCCAAACTGGACAAGATGGCTGGGACATCAGCTTAGGAGAAAGGGGCCCAGGGAGAGGAGAACCTATCCCACCTACAGCAACTTGGTCACTTGGGAAGTCCACCTGCTTTGAAAAACTCCCTCCAGGCTGAACTCCAGGCCCCAACAGGAAGACTGAAAAGTGGTCTTTTGTCAAATCCCGAGAGTTCCTTTAGAAAGAGTCCCCATCACTGAGACTTTGGCAAGTGCCTGTGTGTGGCTGCCAAGGTGGAGACCACACAAGTTCACAGAGATGCTGGTCTTGCCTTGGGTGGTCTTTTGGACCGAGGAACTAGGGCAGACTGGCTGAGTCACTGACTCGGACTTAACCAACGTTAAAGCTGGAGGGGACCTTGAGTTTCACTTCGTGGAATGTCTGGTTCTGTCCTCCAAACTGGCTTGGCAGAGGGACCTTGATCCTCCCTGCTCATCCCCTGGCCCCCACCTCAACCTGTCCCAGGCATCCTTTCTCTAGGCCAACCTCAGTTTCCAGGAGACGTTTGCTTTCTTTCCTAGAAGAACTTAACATAGATGTGTTCTGGATGCCGGGTACTGGCTCAGGTGGGGATGGGATGGAGGAATGTTCCTACTGGGGCCATGGAGAAAGGGTAGAAAAAAGAACATGAGCTGTGGCTCCCTCTCTGGCTTCAACTTATGTTAGAGTTTTCTCAACAAAAGGGAACTCCAGGCCTTCAGCCAGCAGAACTATTTTGGGATGCTTTAAGGTAGACCTTTCTCCAGTTCCTTATTTTTAGGGGATTGCCTTACTTTGTAGTTTTCTTTCACACATTTCTCTCATTTTAATAGTCACGATTTCTTAATATGAGTTCTACTGCTAATAGCACGATTTACAATGATGACAACTATTAGTGGGAAGCATTTATTAAGCAACTACTATGTGCCAAACTCTGTGCCAGGTGTTTTACTTATACCATTTTTAATCTACACAGCAGCCCTGTGAGATGGGTGTTATTTCCACATTTTTGAGATTAGGAAGCAGAGGCTCAAAGACTTAATGACTTGCTTAAGATGACATAGCTGGTAAGCAGCAGAGCAAGAAGGAACCTAGGATATTGACTCTAAGGCTCATTTCTTTCCCATTGTCCCTTCATAGACCTTTTTCATCCCATTTTACAGATGAAGATCCAGAGGTTAAGGGATTCCCTCAAGAACCAATAGCTAGTCAAGGGCAGAGCTAGACCTAAACCTAGCTTTTCTGACTCTTCCTGTATTACACTCATGCTCTTTCTAGATGTACCACAATAGTCTCCTTACCCAACAGGCCACTGCTCACTCAGCCAGGTGTTCCAGCCTTGGCTCCCCAAAAGGCAGCAGGTGGTGACAATGTGCTTTGGAGCCAAACAGACTAGCATTTGAACCCTTGCCCTGCCACTTTATAGCTGTGTACCCTTAGGAAAGTCACTTCACCTCTCTGAATTTCTGGTAGTTGTGAGAATTTAAATGCCATGATGCAGTAAGCATCTGGCGTGAAGCCTGGCACATAGCAAGTTCTCACTTAATGGTTATCATTAAAGATGTAATGGTAACATGGGAGAGTGGCAGGGAAGTTTGACAAAAAAAAAAAA